GTTGGAGAGGACGGGGGCTGCGTTCAAACGCATCCTCCCCAACCTCGGGGGGCCAAACGCCTCCTGCCGGAGGTTATACGCCGGGGTCGTGCGGTCCATGGCCCTCTACGGCGCCCCTGTTTGGGCGCCGAACTTGTTGCGGCGTCCTGCTCGGACGCTGCTCAAGTCACAGAGGGTCATGGCGATCCGAATGATCCGCGGATACCGCACGATCGCTGGGGAGTCGGCGAACCTCCTTGCCGGATTACCGCCGTGGGATCTGGAGGCGAAGGTGCTCGCGCGCGTGTATAACATGCGCGCGGAGGCACGTCGCCGGGGCGAAACTCCGCTGCCGCGCCAGATAAGTGCGTGGCGGGATGAGCTCCGGCGCGATCTCATGGCGGAATGGCAGCAACGACTGTCGCAACCGAGGGCTGGGCTCGCTGCCATTGCAGCGGTAAGTCCCCTCTTTGAGGAGTGGCTTGAGAGACGCTACGGCGTCCTCACCTACCGCCTGACGCAGGTCCTCACCGGACATGGAAGTTTCGGGAGGTACCTGTGTCTGATGGGGCGGGAGGAAACGCCCGGGTGTCATCACTGCGAGGACCGCCCTGAGGACACGGTGGAACACACCGTAGCGGAATGCCCTGCGTGGGCTGAGCACCGCCGTGCCCTCAGGGAAGTGATCGGCGATGGCGACCTCTCGCGTCCGGGCCTAGTGCAGGCCATGATGCGGAGCGAGGGGGACTGGGATGCCGTCTCCTCCTTTTGCGAAGCAGTCATGCTAGCTAAGGAGGAGGCGGGACGCGTGAGGCAGCGAAGCGCTGCCTCCTCGCGACCCAGCCATCGCGAAGGACACACCGGGCGTCGGGGATCGCGGGACGATCTCCGGCCACCGTAAGCGCGGGCCTGCGGACGGCGAGCATGGGTGGCTCCCCGTCCGACCAGAAACAGACCCGAGCGTACGGCGCGTCGCGTTCCGCGCGCGCCTCAAAGAGCCATCAGACCACCACAGATGGGGCCCAATAGGGCCGATGCCGATTCGGAGTCGCGGAGAACCTAACGGGTAACCGGGGCTCCGGCTCGACGTGCAGGAGAAGGAACGGGGTGGTTTTTAGTCAGTAAGAGTCTGACACTCCCTTCCGCCTCACCCAGGCGGGAGCAGTCATTCGATGATTTTCCCCCCTTAAAAAAAAAAAAAAAAAAAAAGGGAGGGGCAATGTTTTTTTTTAAAGAAAACCTTGTTAGCTATTTTGGATTTGATGATAAAATTTGCTGTGGATGGTGTCATTATTACTTATTTTGGTATTATCCAGTGTCGAACTGACAGTAATATTTATAGGATACTTTATTCCCTATCAAAAGATAGCGTTCGGATTTTTATTACTTTAATTCTATGAAGAACAATACAGTTTTAATTAAATAAGCCTTTAACTACAACAGTGTTAGTATCTAGGTACTTACTTTTATTATTTATAGCGATAGACACAAAATAATAAAATCATTGTGTTCTAAATTAACTCATATTATTACTTACTTAAAGCACTTCCCATCTTTTTGCATAATACATTGAGATTCAAATCGTACTAAGAAACCATAAACTCAATTATCCTGAACAATTGGCCTACTGATTCAATGCCGCGCTCCTTAAATTCAAATTAAGATTCAACACAATGTTGCCATGCTTAAATATTCTAATCTAATAGATCTATTCACGATTCTGTTTGTTTATTCTAATTTTGTTTTTGTTGTTTAAAAAATGTTTAGAGATTTAAAATTAATATACTTAGACAGAAAACTTTAATCAATTGTACTAATTGGTGTCTTTCTTTGATTAAAATATAAAGAAAACCAAAACTATCGACTTAATCCATTGATGAAGAGATAGATGAAGGAGTGTTTTGAAAAATCAGTGGAATACGCTGATCATGTTTGACGTAAAACCGAATAAAAAAACCGAAACATTATTAGGGCCCATCCGGCCCATAAAGGCGTTCTAGAAAGACCACATTTTTTTAAATTCCCTTTATTCCATACAGAATACCTAACGATTTACGTTAACTTTTTCTTTAAGGCGGCAATATCATCGAATGAATTCTCCGGCCTAGATGACGCGAGAAGGAGTATCAGACTCTTACTGACTAGAAACCACCCCGTTCCTACTCTTGCTCAGTTAGACATGGTGCCTTTAATATCTAATTTAATTCTGCGGCGCACTATTAAAAATCCTGTGTTCTATAGAACCTATATCCAGAGGACGGAAATAGACTGGTGATGATGAACCATAATTGACGAACTTGTTACCTACATTATTTTAATGGACACACTTTTCAAAATACTTACTTATATTCGGAATGAGATCATTAGCACCATAAATAAAAACGAAGTGTTGACAGTACCTTCTATTAATACCTTTGAATTTAAACAAAGAACAGAATTAAAAACAATACGTTCATGACATCAACAAAGGTTTTGAAGTACCTACTTAATATGAAAATTATGTAAATTGCAAATTGACGAATGATGAGACTATTTACGAAATGGCTTACCTACAGTAAATAACATAATAAGCACAAAAAGGAACAAATAAAAATCTGTAAACAAGTTGGATATATCGATATAAATGGATACCCTTTTATATAATTATGTTAGTTTGTGCCAATTTGTATACTACCATATGCACCATCGTCGAAATTCAATTCAGCAATTTCTAAACATACAATAATTTTCATAGTTCTGAAAAAACTTTCTCATTTTTTTATTAATATTTAGGAGGTTAAATAAAAAGATTTATCGATTGATAGTCATGACAACAATCGTAATTTACTAATTTTTAAATCATTATAGAAAAAAAATCGACAACGAGGAAAAAAGGGTAAGTAGGTCAACAAATTTTTAGAAACTTTTTAGTAACTGCCAAAAATATATTGTTTAGACTAGCATGTAGATAAAAAAATAAAAATGCTATCCTCAATTTGTTAGAATCTGAAATGAGTAGACCTATCTTTTTTTATTTAGCTCATGTTATAAATCACAAAATTAACCTCATGTAAAACTTACCCTCTTCTTTGATGGTGTCTTTCCCGCCCAAATTTTCCGCGTCAGCCATATTTTTTAATACACAGACACTACACTCACCGAAACCAAAACAATTTTATTATAAACGAACTTGTCGCACGTAATTTAATGATTCTTCTCCCTCATCACTTCACCCACAAAACAAATTACTGTTTAACAAATAAATTAAAGAATTAACGAAACACACTTTTTTAAAGGTATTTACAATTTTATGAAAAAAAATAAACCTGTCAAAAATGTTTAAAAAATAAATAAGTTCGCGCGTAATACTTTCCCGCCAGTAACCGAGTTTTTTAGTCTTGGCATACACGTCCCAATGCCTCAAGAGATGATCACAAACTGTTCTATTTTGGTAGATGGAACAAATTGAAAGATTTATAAGCAAGAATAATTTGCGGAAAATACCTACTTTAGCGGTTGTTCGTGTATCAGATTTTTTTATTAATAAATTGTAATGTAAATAATACTTGGAGCCACATCTTATTCTTTTCAATGACATTAGGACTGTTCATTTCACTGTAAGGGTTTTCAGGCCGGTAATAATTACGAAATAAGAACAAAGTGTGAAATTAAAGTTCTACTTTTCACAAATAAATATTAAATGTTTTTGGGCTTTAAAAAGTTTTATTGTTTTATTAAGTATACAGCCAAGCACTTATACTTAAGTAACTAAATATAGCAAAGACGGCGAAAGTTTAACTGGAGTTCACCACAGCCTCACAAAAAAAAACAGCGTGGAAGAACGCTTGCGTTGTGATTTGGCTTGTAAGTAAGTCACATCCTTTACTAATAAATTCGTTTAGGGTGACGAACTAACGACCCTAAACGTCTTTTATCATTCAAGTTCTATAACCTCTATTTCTATAAATATATTAATAAGTAACACAAGATTTATCGTACTGAACTACTTATTCATACTTTATTTATAACTTGCTACCACTAGGTACCATATTTTCTAATCTTTTTACCCAAAGATATAGATTGGAATTTAAATTAGGTAAAGTTTTTCTTGGCAGTGCACAAAATAATCCCGGATCGCAGTTCAAAGTATTTGTTTGTTATAGACTTCCTACATCTACGTCTGGGAATTGAGTAGTAGTCGAAGTGCGCCACCAAGAAAGTGTTTCAATGTAAATCCTTCACTAAGACGTATTTCTAGTGGTTGTGAAATATTTAATGAGTCGACGTGTTCGCTTGCAACTCTGCCTTCCTTAATCTTGGAGAAATGCTAGCAGCTCTTGAATATTGTACATTATGGAGTGCTTCGAGTTCGAATAAATATTTTTGCTCGTGCAGCACGTTTTGTTGTTTGCTGTTTCAAGTATTGTTCGGAGTATAGGATAATTTAAAGTAACATTTCGCTTTCTGATCTTCAACTGGATAGACAGACGTGCTAAACATGTGTCACTGCCTTCTCACTGATCAAAAGCATCATGTAATTTAACTAAACTGTAGGCATAGTCGTTAGAAAATGAAATAACCTATAACTAACTATTGTTTTACGAAGCTCTTTTAGGGAATCCCTGCTAAACTGCTAAGAATTGACTATATCTGAAAAAACATATGACAAAGGATTGGATTACAAAAATCGAACATAAAATTTTTATAATTTCTTCCAACGGCTTACATATTTGAAACATAAATGATTACTTTTGATTAAAATGTTATTCGTAAAGATTTATTAAAATTAAATTATTACAAATTAAAGAAAAAAGGTAAAATGGAACGCATCGTTATTTTTTAGCTCTAAGCACATTCTAAGCCGTTGTAATGTCAAAGTTTTGTCACCTGACAATAATATGTCAAATACTCGACTCATGCGAGCGCAATGTTTTTGTAATTTATTTACTTCATAAATAAGCAGTTAATAAACTTAATAAGTATTAATTAATCAATTATTTAAGTTAAGAAATAATTGTGAGTAAGTGATAAATGCGTTAACAATGTCAGAAGAGGATGAAAACTTGCATCGTTTGGCGGGATCTTCTGGGGATGCTCCGGGCGGCCTTATAATCAAAAAGAAAGATCCTCCAGCGGAGTTTCAGTTTGCCAAGCCTTCGTTGTTAGGGCTAGATAAGCTGGCAGCAGCCAAACGTAAGCAGAACCGGCTAATATCGTTCCAGGACGATACGAACGAGGATGATGGTGATGACAATAAGTCCGAGGCCAGTAGTTCAAAAGAACGTAAATACAGAAAGCATAATGAGGAAACACCAACTTACACCGGTGGTATATCAGAGCAAGCACGAGAACGCATGCTTGAGAGGTTACAAAAGTAAGAAATTTTGGTTATTTTTATAGTTTTTTTGCTGTTGTACTTTCGCATTGGGAACAACCTACAGAATCTTGCTGTTAAGTTGTTTATTCATATATTCAAAAGTAGTGGCGTGTTCATGGTTAATTTTCTCGGCTTCTAGTGTTTATGCCTATATGTTTGTCTTAAAAACTTTCCAGTTAGATACTTTTGGTTCGTATAAAAGAAAAATATTGTGCAATTATTTAACAGATATAACATTAAGTAGTTGGTCATTTTAGAAATGAGTTTGATTTAGAAAAACAATCATTATTTAATTCCATTGTAGTAACGGGTTTAGTTATAAAACTGTTTACATTGTAATGATCTAAAATATACTAATCAAATTCATTTTTCTTTATTTAATAGTCAAATAAAATACATATAAGATAATCTGTAACATTATTTACAGAAGAGAAAAAGAAGCAAAAGAGAAAGGTGTACATCATTCAACACAAGAAGAAAAGAAATCACGGTCTAAAGATGATGAGGATGATCGATACTACCGTTATCGCTATGACAGGAGGGACCGTGATCGTGATCGCAGAAGGGATGATAGGAGAGACGATAGAAGGGACAGGGACCGTGATAAGGATAGACGTAAAGATGGAAGAGACTCGGAACGGAGTTATAGAGACAGTGATAGGAGAGGAGAAAGTTCTAGAAGGAGTAACTATGAACCGAGGTTTAAAGATGAGCCTAGGACTCCTAGGTATGTTGGATATTAAATGTTCATCATCATCAACAACCTATAGCCCACTGCTGAGCAAGGCTTCTTCTTAAACGGAGAAAGTTTGAGCATTAATTACCACGCTTGCTCAATGCGGGTTGGCGATTACAAACTTATAACTTTCACCATTTGTCAGTGGTGTCTGAATAATTTTAGGAAGTATATTTTAAACGTTACTTTACTGTGATTATGCTTAAGTGATTTTATATGGTAGTTCAGTCTATCTGAAAAAAAATACAGTTTATTAATGTATCAAACACTATTATAATGCTAAACCAATTGTATTAAATTAAAACTAACTAAACTCAAATTTTATATCATGTGTCCACTGCACTGTAGAATATAAATTTTTAACCTAGATTTAAAGTACATATTTACATGATTCTTATTAGCATAAGCATGTCTATGGAATCATATTTGTAGAGCCTGTCAATACTAAAATTCTGACTGACACTTAGAAATTGTGAACAAATATAAAAGCATACTCAGTTCTTCAGAAATTAAGCTATATGACCTTCAAGTTTTTAAGTGATATCATAAATAATAACTTCTCATTTCCTAAAAAGTATTAGGTACTTCTCCTTATACTCTATATATCATACAAATATCAACCTTATCATTTCAGCATGAAAGTCCTAAAACCAACTGACAAGACAGCCTGGGATGATGATGATGATGATCCCAAGGCTCCTATACGTAAGTCCAGTTGGGACTTCCCAACTCCACTGACTCGGGACGGTGGTGATCGGTCACAGAGGAGTGAGAGGAGTGGAAGACCACTGAGGGATTACAAAGGAAGATTGTATGAGAATACACCGAGAGCTTCACCTCATAAGTAAGTTTTATGTTTTTATGAGTTCAGAGTGCTGACTGCTTTGTTGGCCGAGTAGTCGCTATTTTGGTGAGACTGCTGGTCAAGGAGTTTTGGGTTCGATTCCCGGGTCGGGCAACGTATTACTGGGTTTTTTTTCTAGTAGCACGTAAAAATTCTCAATAGTAGCACAGAGTTTGGAATTGGGCCCGGTGTATGCCTTAGGCTCACCCCCATTACTTAAAACACAGCACAATAGTCGTGACAATTAGTATTTAAGTTTATTACCTACGTATTATGTATTTATAGTATTTTAAGTTAGATTTGTAGTAGATATTATAGTGAAAAATCGCGGGTTACTCCCGTGTATATACTGTGAAAAGCCGCTGTAGGCTGCGCGACATAGCCGCGACCGCGCACGCTGTATTACACTGTAAAGTGACATTAAATGCCGTGATGTGCACCTCTGTTTACCCCTTTCGGGATAAAAAGCGTGATGTTATGAGTTCAGAGAGTCAACAGCACTTAAAGCATAAAAAATAAAACTAAAGAGTATAGACCATGTTTAAAAAAAATAAAAAATATTTTTTTTAATGTTTCCAGGTTCGCCAGTTCGAGGCGTGGAGTTGATATTGATGACCCAGAGTGGGAGGAGGCTGAGAAGAAACTGGACCGAGCTTGGTACAATATGGGTGAAGGTAAATAATTGACATTATCAGGTTCATTGCAATGCGAGCAATTCAATTTATTGTAAGAAAATAGTTGACTAAACATACAATAATGTTTAATCTAAGTTGTTTTTTTTGCTGTAAAATATCATGAAGCAAACAATACAGTGCTGTTGATTGTACTATAAAACTCGATTAGCACAGCACACAATAATGAGCTTTACCCTTTAAACAATAGGAATAATTTTGCATTAAAACTTCATCCCCACACAACCAAAAGAAAATCAAATCTCCTCACCACAGCCACACACATAACAAACCTTACCGACATCACAATAAGATTAATTTTCCAACTCCAGGTGAAGCTGACGAGTCAGATCCTTTTGCTGGAACATCAGCAGACTACGTAGCTCGCAAAGAAGAACAAATAGAGAAACGTAGAAACAGGAAGGTCTCCGCTCAGAGACAACAGATTGACAAGGACAATGAACTCTGGGAGCGGAACAGAATGCTCACCAGTGGTGTCGTACATGCTATCAATGTTAATAATGACTTGGATGAGGTATGCAGCCTTTTTTATTAATAATATTATTTTAGTACATTTCTTCTTATATTGTAAAGAGTAAACAAGATATTAGCAGTTTGTTTGTAATAATACAGCGCGAGCGATACACTAACAAGCAGAAAATTGACATGAAAAATGCGTTGTGTTTCATCGTGTGAGTGAGGATCCTTCCCTATATCCGTGAATACCAACAATTCTTAAATTCCCTTAATCCCCAAAAGGCCAGTAACACACTTATAACGCATCTAGTCTTCAAGGTGTCCATAGGCGACGCCGATTGCTTACCATCAGGTGATCCGTCTCCTCGTTTGCCGGCTTATCCCATAAAAATAGTCATTTGCTGAACTGTAACCTCTTATACGTATTCTTCCACGTATTCTTCCACGATCGTCAAGCGGTTCACAAGTTAGAACCTTCAAGATTAGGTAGTACTCGGTGTCTGTAACTTTTGCTGTCCTAGTAGTCTTTGTATACAACTCCGTATGAAGAGTAGAGGAGAATAGTTATCCTACTCAGTTATTACTGCATTGCAAATTGTTTTTTAATGATTTAAGTATGAAAATAAAAATTAACACATTTGTCGTGGTCCATTGCAGGAGAGCGTGGACCGCGTGCACCTGTTGGTCCACAACATCGTGCCCCCGTTCCTGGACGGCAGGATCGTCTTCACCAAGCAACCCGAGCCCGTCATACCGGTAAGTCACATCATTTACATAACATCACGCCTTTTATCCCTGAAGGGGTAGGCAGAGGTGCACATTATGCCAGTGTACAATGTAACACCCACTTTTCACTTTTTATGTGATGGGTCCCATGTAATAGGGGGTGAGCCTATTGCCATATACCGGGCACTATTCCAGACTCTGTGCTACTACTGAGATTTTTTAAACCTAATAATACTTTGCCCGACCCGGGAATCGAACCCGATTCCCCTTGCCCGGCAGTCGCACTTGCGACCACTCAGCCAACGAGGCAGTCATCATTTAACTATAACATCATTTATTTATAACTTAAAATGACTGCAATACATAAATACTGAGGAGAATCAGCAAAATGTATAAACTTACTTGTCTGAACTATTCCAAGAAAGCTCTTCCAAGTCACACCTGCAGCTGTAGCCAAATCCCATTTAGCGCTTGTCTACATGTAGAATAGAAGACCAAATTATATGGAATTGACGTAAATTTTGACACTTGTCAGTGTCATCCCCATACATTTTGATTTCTACTCTCTCTGTAGACAAGCGCTAAAGTGGTGTTTGGCTAAAGACCCTGGATATTCAGGAGCAGCGTGTGGAATGTGTAGGTACATGGTAACACTACATCACATCAAAGGGTCGCTATGCTGGACTACTGACCTCGTCAGACCGGTGTACTTAGACCCCCGCTGGGCCGCCCCGTCCCTAATTCTTCGTAATACAGAGGTCGCTACGTATTACTTGATTGATGCGTAATGTTCAATGTTACATTTTAAAGCCACCGTTCACTTAGATACCTAATTGTTCAGTATCCTATTGTCCAGGTTTTTAGTCAGTAAGAGTCTGACACTCCCTCCCGCCTCACCCAGGCGGGAGCAGTCATTCGATGATTTTCCCCCCTTAAAAAAAATCCTATTGTCCAATACTAACAATATTTTGTCACTTCTAGGTAAAAGATCCGACGTCAGATATGGCGATGAACGCCCGCAAAGGCTCAGCCCTCGTGAAGGCGTTCAGGGAACAGAAGGAAAGAAGGAAGGCGCAGAAGAAACATTGGAAGTTAGAGGGAACTAAAATTGGTAAGAGATTTGACTACCTGCCTCATCGACCGATTGCTCGCAAGTGCGACTGCCGGGCAAGGGGTCTCGGGTTCGATTCCCGGGTCGGGCAAAGTGTTAGGTTAGTGTTAGGGTTTAAAAAAAATCTCAGTGGTAGCACGGAGTCTGGAATTGTGCCCGGTATAGGCTCATCCCCTATTACATAGGACCCATAACGAAAAATACTAAAAAGTGGGTGTTACATTGTAATGGCATTAAGTGCCGTAATGTGCACCTCTGCCTACCCCTTCGGGGATAAAAGGTGTGCTTCAATCATTTGTAAGTGACAGTTATGTTCGCCATTTTGTTAACATCCTTTATTATACCTGCTAAAATCGAAATAATGTCACTTTCATTCATCAGTTCAATTAAATAATTCGTTTTCAGCTTTATGAAATACCTAGTTTTTTTATGAAATTTTGTAAGACATAATAATATTACAATTTATTTTGTTTCCAGGTAACATCATGGGCATACAGAAAAAGGAGGAGGAGATGGAGGACGGTCCCACTAAGGACGCTTACAAGTACGCTGAACATATGGACAAAGGTTAGTATCTATTTGCAGTAAATTAAATAATTCTTATAGACAAGAGAAAGGAAGGATAGGTTATACTGTATATGGATGATGGTCTAATCTTATTCTTTTCTCTCCCATACATGCAAATTCTAATGGTTTAGATGTTAACGTGTCCAGTTGTGTGAAGCCAGGAGGCTCATAATACAAATATCTGATTATTTTGGGGCTCCTGTCTCCCTCTTATGTATAAATGTTTCACTAAAAAAATTTTGGATAATTGTATCTCAGTTGGGTGAAAATAAAACAAATTTTATTTCAAATAAGTTTCATATTATTTTTAGCATAACCATGCATTTTTAAGCCAAGGATACAAAAGACATAGGTCCCAAGACATATATCGGCGACGTGTCACACTAACGTCCACAGCGACTTTGATGTTGCCAGACATGTCGAACAAAGTCCGGCGACGTCGCGCTACTTCACCCGACGTCGTTGGCGACACGTGTCTCGCAGGATATTTTGTCCCCTAGTGTATCGTCGGCTTTATTCTCAAAACGTAGACGCGTCACCTGTTAGTAAGCACTGTGCCGCCTGCGTTTTAAGGTGTAGTCCTATGATAAAAGTTGTAATATTTTCCTTGTACTGATTGATTGCCTCGTTGGCCAAGTGGTCGCAAGTGTGACTGCCGGACAACGGCTCTCGGGTTCAATTGCCGAGTCGGGCAAAGTATTACAGGGTTTTAAAACATTCTCAGTAGTAGCACGGAGTCCGGAAATGTGCCTGGTATATGGCAATAGGCTCACCCCCTATTACTTGGGACTCGTAACATAAATAGTGAAAAGTGGGTGTTACATTGTACAGGGGCATTAAGTGCCGTAATGTGCACCTCAGCCTACTCCTTCGGGGATAAAAGGCGTGATGTTATATTATTTGCCTTGTAGACGCTCCGGAAGTGGAATCGAAGTCAGATTTCGTGAAGAAGATGACGATCGCTGAACAACGTCGGTTCCTCCCGGTGTTCGCAGTCAGGGAGGAACTCATGCAGGTCATCAGGGAAAACAGTGTCGTCATCATTGTTGGTGAGTGAAAATGGACTTTATTTATAAGACGGTTTAGTTAATTTTTATTTGTAGTTTAATTGTGGTCAGTGAAATACTGAACAATGGACTATATTCCTTTGATATTGAAGTTTATTTTTATTGATAGTTGCAGCAGCATTAACATTACATAATCGTACTACATATGAATTATTCTTCGCCTTGATCCTCAAGTTTCATGCTAAACAAGAAAGTTATATCAATTCCACTGAACCCTTTTAGGAGATGCCTTTTTTAAGTGGAAGTCGTCTGGCTGATGATTCTGTGAAGGTTTTTGGCATTCCGTAATAAAAGAATTAGGTACTAGGTAGAATTAGGTAGCTTAACGAAAAATAAATTAGTTCGACTGTTCAATACAATAAAAGATTAAAAAATAATCAAATTTTTATTAATTGATTTTATTACCAATTTAATTTTAGTATTTTTTTCCAGCAATTTCATAAGAAAAACTATTCTATTTGATGCTATAAAACGCTATATCTTCTCGATCGCTTGCTTCATTTCTGAAGGTGCCCCTGAAGGGCTTTCATTGCTCTTTGTGTAATTTCCCTCCATCATGTCCTGTTTTTGGCTTCTCTCAGGGCTTTCGTAACAGAGAGTCCAGTGTAATTGGTAACTTGGTCACACCATCGGCTAGGTGCTATATATACGCTATAAAACGTGACGTCACAATACACAATCTCGTACAAAATTCATAGTAAACTTGACAGTTCGAAAAAAATATTGACTTTGACTAGTTGGCAAATTTAGCTTGATCAAACTGTAAAAATTACTACTTCTCTCCGCAGGCGAGACGGGCAGTGGTAAGACGACCCAACTGACGCAGTACCTGCACGAGGAGGGGTTCAGTCGCCTCGGGACCATCGGCTGCACCCAGCCACGACGTGTCGCCGCCATGTCCGTCGCCAAGCGAGTCTCTGATGAAATGAATACTAAACTCGGTACGTATTTACCTTCTTTATGTAGGTACCTACTTCGTTTTTTTTACATTGCCCCACACTTTTTTTTAAGGGGGGAAAATCATCGAATGCCTGCTCCCGCCTGGGTGAGGTGGGAAGGAGTGTCAGACTCTTACTGACTATAACCACCCCGTTCCTTCTCCTGCACGTCGAGCCGGAGCCCCAGTTATCCGTTGGGTTCTCCGCGACATTGTCCCACACTAGGATTTTCTCCTGTGTCGTGGGTACATTTACAAACACACAAGTTCATACACATGACATCTAGTCCCGGAACAACTATTTGTGGATCACACAAAGAATTTGCTAAGTGCGGGTATCAAACCCGCGACACGTTGCGTGGTAGCCGGTTGCCCAGCCTGGTTGCATAGCTAGTTTAGCTATCCAAAGCTTATACAAGAAAACATTATTTTCCACTGTTCAAAGTTTTACACAAGTTTTTAACGAAAACTCTATACAAGTTACGTTATTACTTTCATTTGAGAGCAATCAGGGAAAGGCAAAGTTTTAGTTACCCAGTTACCTATCTTATATGCTATATATAAAAATTGTTTAGACTCTCATAATTATTTTGTTGATTGCGTGTTTCTCAATTATACCTAAATGTCTAAATGATTCTAAATATTTGTTACTAGTTACTTCCGCGCTCTGCTGAGCTCCTATTGGTCGTAGCGTGATGATTTATAGCCTATAGCCATCCTCGAGATTAGCGCGTTCAAAGAAACAAACAAAAAAACAAACTCTTCCGCTTTATATAATAGTATAAGATTAATCTAGATTTAAAACTGCAAATTTATATTTTTCGATTTCCTAGGAAAAGATTCGTGAGTTTTTACAATATTATTAACACCATGTTCCCCACCCAGGTGACGAGGTGGGCTACGCGATTCGTTTCGAAGACTGTTCGTCTGCCAGCACGGTGATCAAGTACATGACGGACGGCATCCTGCTCCGCGAGGGGCTGCGCGAGCCCGACCTGGACCACTACTGCGCCATCATCATGGACGAGGCGCACGAGCGCTCGCTCTCCACAGACATGCTGTTCGGACTGCTCAGAGAGGTCAGTGGGATATTATTTCTAACTACAACTATTATCTGCATTCCATTATGTTTCGAAATTGTAGTTTTTAGGTTTTTACATGGGATTCGAGAACAGAAGCCGACTCTTTTTATCAATAGTAGCTGTTTTTGTCAGGCTTTAAAACGCTCACGAGATGGCGCTCATGCTATTAGTCCAATCTGCTGGTATGAGTTAAAATTAGCAAATATTCTATTTCACAATAGGCCTTACTTTACACTAGCGCTCCTAGTCATACAAAATACAAATAAAAACTAAAAACAATATATGAATTGTCCCATTTCCACTTCTATACGTGTAATCCTACAACGATGCGAAAACCCTCATTGCTTATGGGCGCTAATTAATATATTAAAACTTGCGCCTGATTGACCTTATTCAATGTGTTCAATGGATTTTCGACCTTATTACTAAACTCTATTATCTACGAACTCTAGCGACTAACTTGTTGTTTTTTTAAATCAGACTTGTCCGTCCAAAAATATTGAGAAATGTATCAAAAATATTTATTTTTTGATGTTTTATTTTTAACGTTAATTGACTTAACAATAATTTATCGAATCGGGGTTCGCCCGAACATTCTCAGAATCGGGCCAAACCCTGCCTTGATAAATAATAAATTAAATAAAAACGATAAGAAACGCTTTGTAAACACTAATTAACGATACTTAATTAAAACAGTCTAATGTTAGTAGCGTGACATATTTTCTGTCCTTTTCTTCGTTTAATAAAAATAAGAGATAGCAATAATCTGATTGGAAATCACCTTAATATTTAAACTGTGATCTCGACTTTGGAATGAATAATTAGACAAAGTCGTTTAAAAGGTTAATTTGTGTATATTTACTTCTATAGTTTATTAATAAATATTGTCATGACTCCAATGAATGATATTAGGTATATAAACTATAAAATAAAAATGCGTGATGTTATGTTTAATGTTATCTATACTAATATTATAAAGTTTGTTTTTTAGTTTGTTTGTTTGAACGCGCTAATCTCCGAAACTACTGATTCAAATTGAATAATTATTTTTGTGTTGGATAGTCCATTTATCAAGGAACGCTATAGGCTATAAAACATCTCGCTACGACCAGTAGGAGCCGAGCAAAGCGGGTGAAACCGCGCGCAAGTAGCTAGTAAAATATAAATATAAGGTCTATTTTTGGAAAGGGGTAGATAATTACAATGTAGGTATCAAGTTTTTGCTAACTACAAGACGTATGTATAATGTTAGTAGTTTTGAGTATTGATTGGTCTTACAGTTTCTTATATCCTACTAAAAACCTTATTTGTGAAGTAAATGCTTTTGAGTTCTTGACTTTTGAAAATCAAGTACCTACTTTTTTTCGTGTCTGGGGTCGAACCAGCGCAGCGATAATGGTCTTGAGAAACATACTATTGGGTCTCCAAAAGCAGCCTACGCCTATTGGCCGAAGATGTGAATTTATGATTCTTACTAAAGAAATAACAATCTTAAGTGACAGAACTGAATATATTTATACAAATGACTCCCTAACGTGCTTATTTCAAATGCACACGGCATGACGAAGCACCTTTACATTTTAATTCCCAAATTATTTTTAAAAGACTAAAGTCCACGACTATTTTCATCTTAAACTCATGATAATATGAATTTTCTTGGCATTAACAACGGCTATATTCTGCATTGAATTCTTTGGTAGTGTTTTGTCATATTAATACATGGACTGGATAAGAGATGGCGTTGTAATCAAATTAATGGAAAACTTGTTTTTAAAATTTTATCCTAGAGACTTGAGAAACGTCCTCCTCAATTACATTAAAATTATATAGATAGAGGGCGCTAATACCTATATTGTCATATATAGCTTACAAGTTCTTCGCGTTTATTACCAAGATTTTAAACTAGATGTCAAGTCAGTAAAGTTGCACTTTATTTTGTTTAGATATACAAAACTGCACCTACAGTAGGAAGGCTTCACCATCAAAGTTTACTTTTTAAATTAGTAATTAGGTACTAAGCATCTTAGCTTATGTATTTATTAGTAGGTGAAAACTTTATTTATTTTACTCAAGTACCTACAGGGTAATGCAGTTTGTAACTGGATTTATCTCCTGTATTTTTCTGCTTTGTATTCTAAATGTGCATGAATAGTGAGAAATGAAACAAAAACAAATATTATAAAGTAATCATTTATTCATAAAAATGCTTCATTATAAATAGAACGTTTAAACATACACGAGTACAACTCTCACAACAGTCAATCTGTCACAATCAACATTACATTATTACCGCGCATAAACTACACAGATTAAAAATACTTTCAAGAGTGCCAACCCAACGACAGGGTTGGCCAACATAACAATACTTTCTTTTGACTAATTCAATTCACATTGAGCGATTTCGAACGAAAAATCGTATTCCAAATTGGAAAAAATAAAACAGTCTTATTAAATCAGAAGGAGTGATACAAATACTCATAAGACTAGGGTTACCACTCTCAAATAGATAAAGATTAAATATTAAATAGCTTTAATATTAGCATTATAGTTATTTATTATATTTAGCATACGAGCCGAGGGGCGTCTTTTTGTTTTAACAACAGGAATGTTTTCTTCATATATTTTTATGACCGAATTAAAGCTAGAGAGGGCTACTTTCACAATTTCCTCTTTAACATACGTATAGGCGGTTTATAGCTAGATTTTTTTCGAAGACTACATTCGCTATCTAATAAGCTATCTACTTTTAAACTTTTTAAACTATAACAGGGTCTAAAGTGTGTTGAATTTGGTCCAAATGTATTAAAATTTGTGAAAGATGCCCCTAGAATTTAGTACGTTCCAAAGAGAGACAGTATTACTAGCTAAGTTGTCAAAGTAAATACTGGCAGGAAAGACAACGAAACAAAAAGAGTACACTTAATGAAATTCATAAGAAAGGAACATTCAAATATATAAATCCGTTAAAAAAATATCCGATCTCATCACGAAGTTCCGAAGTGAAAGTGACTTCAACGCGGATGTGTATCCGAATTGAGGATCTATTCAAATCGGATTCTAAATTCTACATTTAAATCAGAAATGCAATTCCAAATTCAAACGTAAACCGATAGTAACGCATGACGTTTCATGTTGAAACTGGGAACGTAAGATAAAAGTTCCGGAACATTTTAGACGTGGTCGATTTTCTTGGGTGATGGCCAGAAGCAGGCGTAGCAGGAGTATTTACCAGCGGAGTGGGTGCCGCTGGTGGATGACACTCAGACGGACTTAGCCTTCTCTCTAGCGTAGTTCTGACTGACGAGCATCACACCCATATTCATGCCGACGTTACCCCACTTGAACGACTCGCTTATCTGCAACAAATACATTGGAAAATTAGTTCAAAGAACACTTGTAAATCACAGGGATTTTAGTATAGACGTCACCGCAAATTAGTCTAAAACTTCTATAGAACATTTAAAGCATTAATGGACTGTGAACATAAAGTTAGGGACTTGACTATCACAAATGGACTAGCACAATTTTTTGTTAGAACACTATTATAATCGTTTGTTTAAAATTTTAGTGGAAAATTCTTTTTGTATCCGTATCTCAACATGTTAAATGGTTCATAAAATTTTATCTGCATTTTAACTCGAGGGTGCGAAAGGTCGGTTCGTGACTATCATAACGACTGTACAAATGATACTATAATACATTGCTAGTGATACTAACGTGCTATGCAATGTTACATAATTGAAAGTGTGGTTCCACTTAATATTCATTACACATGAATGGGCGTTTCAACGATTCTACAATAAAAGTCATTAAGAAGCGACATCTGTGCATAATTTGACAAGTGATCAAAAATCTGTGCATAGATTCGGAAAGTATAAAAATAAGAAATAATACAATTCTTATAACGTACTTTGTCGCTTAAGTGAATCGAGTTATTTATGTTTTAATGGTGATAATAAAACTTCAATGTCATTTGTAAAGCAGAATGGTCCTACGGCCGCAGTCTTGAGTAATTTATCTATTGGAACGACCGGTTGTAACTGCTTTATTCTCGATCAATTGTTTTAGGGCGTGTACAGATAAAATGTTTATATTAAATAGTATTTTTATGTTAAAAACTTCGCATAGTTACTTAAAGTTTATCATTTTGCGTGTCAGAAGTTAACGTTCCTAATTTTTAATGCGGTATTAATTTAAAACTTTTTATTTTTCACACTTTGACGTATGCTGTCATATTTAGTTTCGAGGTTTTTAACTACGACCTCGAAGTTTGTGGGCGTCTTAAATATAACGTTACTAGTACCCTACCCACATACCTACGTACATACTGTTAATGACGCAGTTAAAAATAACTGTTGTTAGATAATTCATATTATGTTATCTGTGACATTTTAAACATATTTATTAAATATAATACCCTAATATTATATTGTCCGTTTAATAGTTTCCTCCTAATTTTCCGGAATACAATACTAAATTATCTTCTGTCCCGTCCCAAGCGGTTTTCCTTGACTTTGACGTATGTTATAACAAAAGGTATGCGTCGTTGACGTATTTTAAAATAAACTAACCATTGAACATGGCTCATTAAAAGCAGTTTCTGCATTTCTTTCTTATTTCCTATTATGTTTACTTTACGAGCGTAAATACATACTTTTATATCTATAAATAAATATATTTTATGTTTTACTAGCGACCCGCCCCGGCTTCGCACGTGCAATATGCATTTATTAAACATATAAACCTTCCTTTATAAAAAAAAATCGCATCAAAATCCGTTGCGTAGTTTTAAAGATCTAAGCATACATAGGGACAGACAGACGGCGGATAGCGATCTTTGTTTTATACTATGTAGTGATAAAAAACACACTTTATACATTATAGAACGTGTCTGTCAATTTATAGAAGTTATTCTAATGAATGCAGAATGCTAGCTATTATAACACTGCTATTATTGTTTATTACATACCTACTAGTATTATGTAACATCAATATGTTTTGAATAAGTTAATTGCATTTAATATTATGAAGAGCTTGAGATAACATTAATGCACTCTATTTAATCTTTTGTTACTTTCAAGTGCAACTTTCTTTAGTCTGTAAGTTATCAAAATTAAATAGTAATTTGTACATTCATCTTTTGACATTTTAAACTGGATTTATTGAGATTGTAGTTGTTTTAAATAGTGATTTTTGCATGTATTAGATTTGACGTATTAAGAAGATTACACTTAGCTAGTTCTTTTTATACCTAAGTGCTAAGGAGAATGAAACGTAACACATTATGTAAATGTTCGTTCCATAGTAAGAATTGTATGATATCAGTGTTTATAAAAATGTATAACATTGTTATATGTATCCATGTGATCGATACCTACAATTGAATCGCTTTCACTTTTTAAACAGTCGCTATGCAAAACATACTCGATTTGTTTCATACATATTATCGTATAGTTTATACTTTGAAGATTATTTTACTTTTTCGTAGAATAGATTAACTTTGTAGGTACTCGATTAAAATAAATGACATTTGAATTTGACCCGTAAAATTATTTATAGTTAGATTAGTTTTAAAGAGCAATTATTATCAAATCGATTTAAATACTTAATAAACCGATCATCATTATATTTTGTACGCATGATTGGATGTTAAATTGAACAATTTTTGCCAGTCGATTGCCTAATTCGCTACGTGCGTGTTTACACGAAACTTGTATTTAAATCAATGATTTTTTCCCTACAAGAAAGTTTTAAGTATCAACCGTATTAGTGAGTAATACAGAACTATAAAAGGACACATTTGAATCATCTGTTCGTTATCATAAACGACGCACATGAACATAGAGTTAGAAAACATAGAAGGCACACTGACTCCTACATCTTACAATCTGTAAAATTCAAAACCTCACCGGTATTGTTATTCTTGCCAGCTGTAAGTGTCCAAAGCGCCTCAACGATTACCATCAAAAGATGATAATCATAGGTGTTTTCGACGTCGTTAAGCTGATCTGTAACAAAATTTCTGCTTTGTGCGATCTCTTTTTACTTTCCGGACCCAGTTTATGCCCCATGCATGATGGATGATCGCCAGTCTTGATGTGCCATTGACTCGGTTCCTCTCTCAGTCCATAGTAAACAATCAGTCAGCATAGACATTCACAATAAGCTAAGTATCAAGAAGCATTTACAATGCTTGACTGAAGATAGAAATGTACAGGGGTGAAGTAATACTGCCGTTAGAACGTGCTCCGTACGTTGTAAAGGCGGCCTTACTTTTTGCGACTATGCATTCGCATGCAGTAATATAAAAAAATATATTCTAGAAACGAATACGTGTTTTATACGGAATATGGAAGGTAATGATGCGCGTACAAGTACGCGGTATTGTCGTATTGTTACTGAAATCAAGAGCCCGATAAACGCGTTTATTGGTTTCTAGAATCGTACACTTCTGTATATTGTATAGTAGTGTGCAATTTACCTGTCTCATGCGAGCCTCCTGCGGAGTTTCTCCGTATCTGCACCAGTGGACGAAGTGCAGGGTATTGTGCCAATTCCTCTCGAACCTTGATTTAGTTGCCATATCCAGCTGCAATCAGTAGAAGCTCCTTAGTAGCTGTTCCACTGTTCGAGTGTGCCCACAGTTTCCAATAAACGAAAGACCCCTTGAGGTTTTCGCTATCTGAAACGAGAGGTTTCCAATTCTGACGCAAGCCTACGGTATTGAAGGAAGAACGTCTAAGTTCGATCGAGAGTTAAGATAAACCACTGACGGTTGGAATTATATCATGCATTATATTAAAAGATTAGTTGGAGAGGAAAACGGAATATTTACAGTACTTTCAAGATAACACTAATGTTACATTGACACGGGGATTTGTTTAGAGATAAATTATCTTTTTGTGAATTTTTATTACTCAGGAAAATCTAAAGTCCAATTATTATATAGATTACAAATCATGTCCGCGAAAGTATTATCACACGATTACAATTTGCTCGAATTGTTTGCCGTCATGTCATTAGTGTGGTGTCGTAATGTTTTACAAGACAGTCTGTCTGGTTTTAGCAATCTTACATTACAAAACTTTGATTCGTATGAAACTTTAGCCTCGGCATTAAATATATCGTGGATCATTGAAGGCCGTGTGATTATGTCACTAGTACAAGTATCAAGTTGAATGTGTTTCGATATTGTTTTGTTTCATTAATTTAATTTATCAGTAGCACGTAAACTGTGCAACTGTAAAACAATTCACAGATATCATGATTTGCAACTACAAGTGGTCAGTTAGAGGGGATATAGTCGAAGCATACGCGAACGTGTTTTAGTAAATATTGGAATTGGAAACGTGGACTTCCGAAAGTTTCGTTGTGTAATTACCTTTGCTCTGATATCTTTCTCGTTGTTCGGCGTCTCCTGTTTATCGTCCACATTGTTGATGCGTATCACGGAGTCCTTCTTCCAAAAGGCACCGAGTGTGGTCTTCACGACACGTTTTCTCACACCTTTCTGTTGAACTGTGTACACTTCTATCTGTTCCGGGTTCTTTGTTTTTTCTGTCGGAAGAACAACATTTTTTCGTTAAAAACCGGATCGCTCAAGTCGCGTTCGGAAATTCCTCAGACGTCTCGGATATTTTTATGAGAAAAAAATACAAGGCCTTTGCCCTTTCGAAACTAAACTTCTCGTATTGCCGACTGCTTTACGAGCTTAAACGCATCAACAATCCATTCGTTAATCTCATTAAAGCGAATCGCGCATGCACATGAATTATTTACAAACGCTATTGTGAATTCGTCTTGTTACGTGTGACCGTGGGTGAATTGTGCCAACTTTATTTAGTCTCGATGCGAGGCTCACACGAAGCGAACGTTATCAACGCGTCCTAATTACAATGTATATCATTACGACCGCGACAACTTTAAATTCCTTTCATGTTTAACAATTACCGATAACAAGTTAATGTTAGTAATACAACACATATGGTACACACCTTTACCCTTCTTCCACATGGCGACTGCATACATGTGATAGTCTGGCGACAGTACCGAGTCCGGGGGCAGTGGGTCCTCGGCTCGCACTTCGAGGATGAATCCTGTTTCGCAGACGGCGCACAATATATTTTGTTCGTCATGCTTGAACCACTTGGTCTCACGGAGCTTATGTATGGCGACTGACGATCCAAAGCGGGGTTTCTTGGGCGCGAACAAAGCCTGTGCCTGACTCCCGAATCGAGACAGGAGCCCCTTCACCGTCGGTGGGGACGGCGCGAGGCTCTTCTCAGGCGGCTTGATCTGCTGGAAACTCCGGCAGGTCACGAACCTCGCTTCCATTGAACCCCTCTCCAAGCTCAAATACACGAGACAATTCCCCTTCCACTGATATTACGTTGCGAGGGCGTCACGTCTTCTTGGTTCTTAGGCGCGGCAATATACTCTCACTCGAGAAATCACGTTTTATAAGCAACACTTTCACAATTTATGTAGCGCGTGGTATCGCGATCGTAGAACAACCGAGCTATACGGTGGCGCAGTAACGTTAGACGCGGCGCGCGTGTGGGGGCACGGTATATACGGCCGGCGGGGGGCGGCGGCGCGCGGGCGCGGGGAGGGCCCCTCTACTCCGGTCTCTCTGACCTCACTAGTGTTGGGTATTGTGCGATAACACACATGTTTGTAGTTTTCATTGTTGTTTCAATGCACCTATTGTTGTTAGCTTCTATGTGGAATTCCTTGCACTTTTACACTTTTTTGGATTCCTAAATCGTTAAAATAACAACTTGGATGTGTCGAGATGTTTGAATCAGTTATAATATTTATTTAAGAAATGATTGCACAAATATTTTTATCATCTTATGTAGGTTTTAAAACCTAAATTGCCACTAAAGGTGTAATATAGGCCTCCTCTAAATAAGAGGGATTTGCCAAAATGTCCACGCTCGACAGGCGGGTTGGGAATAGCAAATTAAAAGACACTAGTTCACAATTAATATTTAGAAAATGTACGTGGGAAATGTATTTACACCAATTATTTTATTGTTTCCTCCGCTCTGTTACGAGACTCAGATTATTTATAATAATATATTTAACAAAATTATGTAAATGAGAGTAGGTAAAACATTTTACAGTTTATGTTTATGGATTTTCCTGCCGTGCCCGCATCGAAGTGGGATTACCCGTCAACAATAAGGAATGTAAATAAATAAACATAATTATATGCTATGCCATCTCATCGTTTTCGTCCTGCTACTCAATTTTTTTCTATTTATAGCCTAACTCGAGAGTTGATGAATTTATAGTAAAATTACAAACATGTCCTCGTCTATGTCAAATCAAATAAAAAAAAAACATGTGTATACATACACACACACGCAGGTGCATGTATGTAGAATGATAAAAAAATAGAATAGTTGCACTTAATACAGGTTTACCACTTGTGCAAATGCAAATTTTTTAGTAAGCAATAATCATAAAGTTTACTTAAGTAGGTACTTGTGAGGTTTTGTCATTAAACTAATGCAACTACATTCTGAGAAAGGCAAAGACGTCGAAAATCGCATGGGATCATCATCATCGTCTTCATATCAGCCATAGGACGTCCACTGCTGAACATAGGCCTCCCCCAATGACTTCCAGATAGACCGGTTGGAAGCGACCTGCATCCATGGGATGTTATATGTTATTACATCCTTTACTAAACACCAATTATAGGTACCATACAGTAATTAAAAAATGTCACTCAATAATACATTTCCGAGAAAACACCCGGAACTCAAATCGGAAGTGACCAAATGAAATGTCGATAAAAAACATCGATAAAAACAACTCTCGTCACATCTCTCGGCGATGCACCGACTTGACCTCACTCGCTGCTAGTTGTGACACCCCCCGCGCACACCGCGCCCCCTCTCCCCGCGCCCCGACAAACCGGCGCCAACCGTCAGGTATAACTTTTTCACTTTATTTTTACACTATCAGTTTAAAATAACTGTTATTTAATTGAGCTATTCATTATCGCGGTATGCGGTAACGTTACTTCTCTATATTATTGTAAACATACTCTTTCCTGTTATTTTTTATTCTGGTTTAAACTGTATTAGTATATCAACGTGTCATGTGACCTTTTCCCGCCTATTTGTGAGTTTACTTCTCACAAATCATTTATTGTTACTTCATATTATGAAACTTGTTTGTCCAAATAAATGCTAAATCATTTTTACGACCGAATTTCATGTAATTACTTGTATGAACCGAATTAGAGCCGTGTCGCTCGACGCGGCCCAGTTGTCCTGCCGACTCATTTCCAGCGGAGACATGGACGAAGCCACGTACGCACGCATTCGCATTATTTACAAACAAATGCACAAACAAGGTAAATGATGCCAAAATTACGCAAAACAATGTCAAGGAAACCATTGATTTAAAGGCGTGTCGTAAATATTATTATCATTGTGGACCGACATGAGATCTTATTTCAAGATAACGATAAAGGTTTTAATTGCTTGAAGGACAATTGATAATTTAACCTAAAATGGTGTTAAAGGACACTGTTTGATTGTAAAGTAGTTTTATTGAGGCTTGATTGAAGTTGATATCGAATGCTCAAATATTTTTGCAATTCTCATTTTTTTCTTTAACAACTTTTGTATCAACAGATAAAGAACCCATATGGGATTTTCTTGAAAATAAAATTAGTGATCCGTGTCATCCATTTGCATCAAACGATAAAAGATTCTATCAAGCAAACAAAATACATAGCAGAATTCAATAAGGCAAAGAGTAACTTCAAAGGTATTACGATAATCACTTTTGACCCCCAAACCTCCCTTAAGTTCAAGGTGGATACCGAAATAAACAAGAATCCTATTTGAAGTAAGTAACTCAATATACAGAGTCCCGAAAGATACTTATCTCTATTAATACATTTTACCTTGAGACCTACTCAAGATTGAGGTAAACTAATAATGTTTGGGCATTTTCGTAAGTACAATATTGATATTTTGTATTGCCCTGTATGTTATAGCTTAGTCACGGATAATGCGTGTTAAAGGTAATAAATGGTGAAGGAACGTTTTCACTATTAACTCGTCGAGTACCGCATTTATAGACACAATTAAAGAACAATAGGTTGCGGTCACCGGTGACCGCTTGGTGTTTGACAGTTTAAGGAAACAAATAACAAGGAAAGGAATGTGATACACTGTACTAATGATACATTAAAATCTTTAAGCTGTTTTACTTTCCTAATATGCTATAGGTAAAGATAGTTAAAAAACTTCTAATCAAGAGAAATGACCTCCACTACATTTACAAAACAGCTCAACAGGTATTTTGATAGTACCGGAAAAACCCAAAAGATCAACGGATTCAATCTTGCGGAAGCGGCAGTGCATGTTAATGCCTAAAGATAAAAGAAAATTTAACCCCACACCAAATAATCCTTGAAGAACATCTCACAGCTAACGGGACGGGATATGATAATGTAATCCATTGCAATCGCTCTTGTAAATAGCGATTCTGCTGACGTCCTTTAAATGCGCCTTCGAGAGGGGTGCCCTTCGGAACGCCCTTGACCCAAATTTACCCTACATCGTTTATCCGTTTATGTGACGCTTTAAAACTTCTAGCGAACTTTCTGGAACAATTTGTATTGTATTTCATCTTTATTTATTGCAAAGTTTTCTAAGGGTTTCTTTTTCGTTTTCTTTGCTTCGGTCATGTTTCATAGTAGACTGTCCTACCTTGCCCTTGGCTAAAAATGGTTTAAGTGTTTTGTTGATATTTTAAAGTTTAATTTTTTTTGTAATAATCCGTGATTTGGTCTCTATATAGATATGTGTGCAACAGAATTTGTCACAAAAGAAAATAGGCACTATAGATAGTGTAGCATTAGCTAACATTTTTCTAATGTGCGTGTTATCTACGTCTCTATTAGATTTCCTTTATCTATATTATTGGAAGACTGCAATTGCATCAGAATCTTTGTCATATTCCTTTAAAACGATATTTGTCACGTTTTTATCTTCGAAATCAGTCTATTGGAGCACCTTATCAGTTTTTCATAAAATCGTAAGGATTAATTCGATTGTTTGTAGATTTGCACTTTTATTTATAAATGTTTAATCTTCTTTGCTTGAGAATTTGAGTCAGTTGGTTCCTTGAATACGATTCAGTGCTTGTTTTGGTTTTAGTTTGATATCATACCTATGATTCTTTTGAATTTTGATAAGCTTACACTAAACTGCAATTGCTACACTGCATCATTACTATTTTCTTTAGGCGTGCCGTAACTGGTCACAGTATTAGCTCACAGAACTTTTATTCCTAAATTAGCTTTATTAGTTTATTCTTTGTGTCCCTGATAGTAAACTCGTCCTTCCAAGTCATGAATATAATAATAATGATACGTCATAGAATGAGTTATTTCACTCAAAATTTTTCATTGCTCCAATTTAACATAATTATAATAATATTTGCCTGCTCTCCAAGTTGTAGGACATGCATTATATTATCTACGTAAAAACTCCGTTTATTACCAAACAAGGTATGAAAAATGGTCGGTATCAGATAGCTGTCTATTAATACTACACTGCCCTTTACTTTGCATCGCCATTTACGACTGGCACGGGTTAACCTAGCAGATATTTTCTGCAATCTTTCCATTCAGTGCCACAGTTGAAATGATGAATGCAATGTAACAAAAAGCAAGCTTAATAGCGCATATGTATGAAGGTTTCATGAAAAAGAGACTCTAGAAACTTATGCAATTATTGAAAATTCTAAAATAGAAAATTCCAATAATACTTCCATGTTTATGCTGATCATTATCTTACCACTAACGAGTTAAAGTTTTTAATAAGTCTAACAAAAAGCATGTATCCACAGACGTATAAAAATTTTGCAAAAGCATACCTGTGTGCGTCGCAGTTGACCGAAAGAAACGACACGTTTTGAAACCAGTCTCAAAATTATAGTCCCTCAGTTATTTCACATAAGTTTGAATTCAAATTACGTCTTTCGAATGCAACGTTTTTTTTGTTCGTTCCAGAACGTTCTTTTGCGCTTAAAGTAGTCTGCATAACGATTTGTGCAGACAAATAAAATATGCATTATTGCAAATATGCATTATTATAAATGCGCAATTTATTTATATCATGAGACTATTAAGTTTTTACCTGTTTGTGTTGTGTTAAGAGTTCCATTTTTATATTAATGATGGATTAAAAGTTACTCTATATAGGATCAAATAGGAATTCGGAGTACTTACCTGTAGCAGAATACTTATAGCTAAAACTAGAAAATAACTTTCTGTGATTCGTCACAATGCTTCAAAGACTTCAAGTAGTTAATAGTGGTGCAAATATTTTAGGTTAAAGTTATCCTAAGCAATTTAAATAAAAAACTTAATCCAATTTCTTAATAATAAATTCTCAAAGATTTATTAAACTACACTACACGAGCGAATACCTACCTAAATATTATCAAAGAAGTAATTTTGTATCGCAACAAAGACAGAATCAAACTTTTATTTGCTGTTGAACTTAATTGTATTTTCTTATACAAAACA